ACCCTACTGGAAATAAAATGTATGTAACTCGAGATGTTACATTCCATGAAGACCTTCCTTTTTTCGGTGGACATGAGTGCTCTCTTCAGGGGGAGAAAACACTTAATTTAAGTGAAGACAACACTCATGAATTTTTTCATGAACAAGCCGGGATTGATTTGCAACTAGATGAACCAAATGTTGATACATCTCCCGAGATTATTAATGGCACTCTTGAGAACCAAGATTGTACAACTTCCCAGGACACACCAACAACCACAGAAATTCCAAGTGTGTCTCCTCAGGTAACATCTTTACCTTCATCTCCGAATGTGTTTCCTCAGGTAACATCTTTGCCTTTATCTCCTATAATACTCGAGTCAACTCCTATCACAAATGAACCGAGATATCCAATTAGGATAAACAGAGGGATTTCGAAAATTCAATATGATCCTGATTTTAAAGCTAAGACGAAATATTCCATCAACAATTATACCTCCTCTCATCGTTTGTCAAAATCGCATGCACTTGTTATAAATCAAATATCCCCTGTTTCTATTCCTAGTAATGTGCAGGAAGCATTACTGGATTCAAAATGGAAGAAAGCTATGAATGATGAAATGGAAGCCTTGCAAACAAATAATACATGGGATCTTGTATCGCTACCCGTGGGGAAGAAAACAGTAGGGTGCAAGTGGATCTTTACAGTCAAACTCAGTCCAAATGGAATCATAGATCGCTACAAGGCAAGGCTTGTTGCTAAAGGGTACACACAGAAGTACGGGATTGATTATGGAGATACTTTTGCTCCTGTAGCAAAAATAAACACCATACGTGTACTTATTTCTATAGCAGCAAATCGGGAGTGGCCGCTAAGACAGTTTGATGTTAAAAATGCATTTCTTAATGGGACGTTGGAAGAAGAAGTATACATGGATCCTCCTCCAGGCATAAATTGTGATGGCAAAGTATGCAAGCTAAGAAGAGCCTTATACGGATTGAAGCAATCCCCTCGAGCATGGTTTGGAAGGCTCTCAACTTTCATGAAGAAGATTGGATACAAACAAAGTGATGCTGATCATACACTCTTCATCAAGCAAGGTTATGAAAAGGTAACTGCCCTTATTGTGTATGTTGACGATATGATTGTTACAGGAAATGATACAATTGAAATGACTGCCCTGCAAGAAAACCTTGCAACTGAGTTTGAACTTAAAGACCTTGGGCACTTGAAATATTTCTTAGGCATTGAAGTTGCAAGATCAAGCTACGGAATCTCTCTTTGCCAGCGTAAGTATGTGTTAGACTTACTAGCAGAAACTGGTATGCTTGATTGTAAACCTGTTGAAACTCCCATCGAAGTGAATCACAAATTAGCCATTCAACAAGATCAAACTCCAACCAATAAGGAGAGGTATCAAAGATTAGTTGGGATATTAATATACTTATCGCATACACGTCCTGGCATTGCATATGCAGTAAGTATTGTTAGTCAATTCATGCATGCACCAAGCGAAGACCACATGGAAGCTGTGTATCGGATCCTACGATACTTAAAATCTTCTCCAGGAAAAGGATTTTTTTTTTCAAAAAATGGAGATCTAGAAGTTAAGGGATACACAGATGCAGATTGGGCTGGAAGTCAAACTGATCGAAAATCTACATCGGGATATTTTACATTTGTTGGGAGTAACCTGGTAACATGGCGAAGCAAAAAACAAAAGGTTGTAGCAAGATCAAGTGCAGAGGCAGAGTTTCGCAGAATGGCTCAAGGTATATGTGAGTTGCTATGGATAAAACGTATCCTACACGATCTTGGTATCTGTCCGTCAAAACCAATGACGCTATTATGTGATAACAAAGCAGCCATAGCAATTGCAAATAACCCTGTTCAGCATGACAGAACTAAACATGTGGAAGTTGATCGGCATTTCATCAAAGATCATCTTGACAAAGGTACAATTGCTCTTCCATTTGTCACATCAAAAGATCAACTAGCAGGTGTCCTAACAAAGGCTGTATCTGGAAAAGAGTTTCAAAGCTCACTAAACAAGTTGGGAATGATTGACATATATTCACCAACTTGAGGGGGAGTGTTGGCGTGAGCAATCTTAGGAAGAAATTATGCTACCAAAATATTTGACTGATTATATAAATATTATGTTTACTTATTTATAATTGATTATATTATGTAAATATTGTATTTACTTATTTAATTGATTTGCATAGATTTAGGCCATAGTGTAGGAAGCTATGTACGTGTATATATAGACTGGAATTAGCTAGATTATAAACAGAAGAGTATTTTTTCCTCCATTACCGTTTCTACAAAGATAATATTTAACGGAAAAGTTAACGGATAATCATATTCATTAAGGATAAATTAGTAAATCTTAAGAAAAAAATTAAAATCTGATCAATCTGAGCCATTCATTTGATTAAAAAACTTGACCGCCATTTTTTCTACCCATTATAGGCCTAACACTCTTGGGCTCTTATTAGTATAGTAGATATAATTTATTAATTGAATGTAAAATTGCAAGTAAATAATATATTATTTGTAATAAATACATAATTTATTAAATGAAGGTAGATACTTTAATTGTGCCAAGATCATGGTTGCAGTAGCCAGTAGGCGCTAGGCGCTAGTCGGACGCCCGAACAGCGCCTAGCGCCTAGACGGTCTAGGCGGGCGCCAAAAAAACAGTGGTAGACTTGCAGTTTGACAATTTTAATGAGGTTGTTTTCAACATTTAATCAAATAACACATCCAAATAAATGAATTAATGATAATTCATAAGTCATAACATCAAAACAATGGTTTTCAAAAAAAAAAAAAAAACGTTAAAACAATATTAAAAATTAAAAATACTCAAATATGAAATACTCAAATACTTCAATCTTCCAAAGATGTGAAGTATCAAACTAGTCTACAGGTGTATATATGTCATATTATATATATGTATGCGCGTGCGCACACACATATATATAATAAAAAAAATAGGCCGGGCCGATTTGGTTAACTCGACCGAAATGGACGAGTTAACTCGACTAACTTAGACGCTAGGCGGATGCCTAGGCGGCCGGTAACCTAGGCGAGCGCCTAGGGGGAAAATCGCCACGGTCTAGAGGCGCCTAGCGCCTAGGCGGGCGCCTAGACCGATTTTTAGAACCCTGGCCAAGATAAGTGATGCAATATGTGTTAGTTCTGATTATCTAAATCATCGAGTCTTGTTTATGTAAAATTTATTTTTAATTAGTGAATTTATTACGGGAATGACCCTATAGATCAGATTAAGAATTGTGGTTATTAAGTCAATAAGCCAAATAAGTTGCCTATTACCACCTTTATTTAGGCACAGCAAAGAAAGTTATAAAAATTCAAATTTAAATTTGAATTTGCAAAGACAAGTCATATCCTTTCAAGAACAACAACTGTACAATAGCTGCAAACAATCAATTTGATTTTCAAAATTCATGTCCAAAATTGTTGGTCAATTAAGCTTTACTCATAATTTGTCCAAATTGGACATTATCCCATTCTCTCTAAGTTGCTACACTTCTCTACATATGTCATTCATATAAACTCACTCTCTGATGTGACAATTTGCAGATGGTTAGTTAAGATTAAAATAAAAAAGGGAACACTCCCTACATCTACCATTCATAATCACTCCACAATATAATGTGATAATTTGTGATAAGTTAAGATTTAATTAAAAAGGGGGTTTAAAAAAAAAAAAAAAAACTAACCACATAAATATAGCCATGTAGTGTAAAAAAATGTGTAGTTCTTGTAGGGTTTGATACATTTTCCATGTCCAAAATTTGGACATATTCTTAGCCACAACGACAGAATTTGGGCTTACCAAATTAAACTTAATTAGAAAAATTATAGCATAGACCATGGTCACCATGGTTTATTTTATCATAATATTATAGGTTATTCACTATAATAATATTCTAGGTTGATTAAGATGACATCAATTTGCATATTATTATTTACACATATTGTTCTTTATTATTATTATTATTATTATTATTTTTTTTTTATTATTTTGTATAAACAAAATTAATGTTACAAATGTCAAACTATATTATTAAAAATATCTCATTAAGATCTTTTATTTTGAATGATACGAATATTAATATTTTTGAATCTTAATTGTTCATCGACGGACTTACAATATTGTTAAAATAAACATTATGCATTGTGAAAAATAAACTTCCAGTATTTTCTTAATGGACCTATTTTATATTCATTAGTATTATGATGTAGTAGTTGTATTATTATTGTAAAGATGTACATTTAGTATTGTAAAATTGAACTACTAATATTGTGAAAATGAGTGTGCATCGTTTAATTAATGAATCTATTTCAAACCCACCTATTTATAATGTAGTTGCATTATAATTGTGAAAATGAACATGTGACATTTTGAAAATAAACTTTTTGTATTTTAAAAATGAACCTGCTGTGTTTTCTCAATGAAATTATTTAATATTTATTAATATTATAATGTATTTGCATTAATAATATTATAAAAATGAACCTACAACATTTTGAAAAATAACCTAATACAGTGATTAAATAAAATTGTATGCTAATTTAAAACATTAAAATAAAAATATCAACATGTGTATCATTTAAAAGATCATCTGGACCGAAGAGTGAAAATAAATACTCAGGTGACTACTTTCTCAACCTACTGAAACACAAGGTCAATAACAGGCTCAAACTCACAACCTCCCATATGGGACTCCAACCCGGGTGCCTTCGACCACAAGGACTTAGCGATCATCAATGATATTAAAGAAGTGTTAAGTTCCTCCAATGAATTCAACTTCAAATTTGTGAGACATTCTGCGAATCAAGATCTCTGTAGCATTGTTAGGGAAGTTGTTTCTGTCTAACGGTAAGGAATGTTTTACCATTCCATCGATCATTTTTGTAATCGTTTCAGCTTATGATTAATTTTTATATATTAATTTTAAAAAGATAAAAGAAAAATAAACTTAAGTTGAAAAGAATATAATGTATAATACATGTTAATTATAAGTTTATTTATGAGTTAATACCACAAATGGTCCTCTCTATTGAGGTAGTACTTCTTTTAGTCCTCGACTTTTAATTCGACCAAAACACATATATACTTTAACTTTCATTTTGACTACTAATAGTCCTTCGTTGTGATTTGTGTCAAGTGGGTGGTAAATCTAATGGTAATATCATCAATTCTAAAAGTATTAAATGTTACTAAGCAGAATGAAACCAACCCGCGCACCCAAAAAACAATGAAACCAACTTTTTTTTTTTTTTTTTTTTTTTTTTTTTTTTTTTGAAATCTGGTTGGTTTCATTCTACTTAGTAACATTAATACTTTTAGATTTGATGATATTACCCTTAGATTTAACACCCACTTGACAAAAATCATAACAAAGGAGTATTTGCAGTAAAAAGTGAAAGTTAAAGGCATGTGTTTTGGTCGAATTGAAAGTCCAGAATTAAAAGGAGTACTACCCCAATAGTCAGATAACCATTTGTAGTATTAACTCTTTATTTATTATAAATAAACTTACTAACCTACAGTTTTATGATGATGATGAATGGTGATATTTGTGGGAGATGAGTTGCAGACAAGAAGAGAGTTGGTGAGGCTGGGAGAACATAGGCATGTGATCAGCGTGGGGGATGACGCAAACCTCATGGGTGGGATTCATTTGGATTAGCCATCGTTGATACTCCTCCTTCAAGCTTTTATCTTTGCCACAAACCACATAGACTCGCTTAACTGATCCATACTTTTCCTCACTCAAAGCATACTCCTCATCATCACCATTATTTCCATCTCTCCACATGGGCATACCTCGTACCAGTAACTTTGCCAAACTCAAATCCTGTTTCAATGTTCATTAATTTTTAATATTTTTTTTAAAGCCAATACAATGAAATAATATTAATCATATTTATGGGTGTGAATGAGATGATGGTGTGAACTTCTTTCAACTCAAATAGAGAATTTAGTAACCCAACAGGGTAGCTCAAGTGGTAAATGAGCTTTTTGTGTGGGGGAGAATTCCGGGATAATTCGGGTTTGATTCCCACAAGTGACGATCCCTTTTGGGCCAGCTTCTGTGCTTCTCGGAGCGAATCGGGTGGACCTGGACCGTTAAACGGACAGAGAAAGGCCCGGACCACAATGTGTGGTTGACACCAAAAAAAAAAAAAAATAGAGAATTTGGTATGCACGCGACCTATTAGGACTCTATGTATATGAGTCTGTTTAGAACTTCTTATCCTTGTCACACTGTGACTCTCTACTTCTTATCATTGTCACACTGTGACTCTCTATTCTATATATTCACATCATCTGATCTCATTGTAATTAAGTTCAGAAAATATAATACAATCAGTTCTCATCTGGTATCAGTTAGCTAGGGTTTTGTGATTCATAAAATTAAGAAGATGCAGCGCTGCGATGACAACCTTAATTACCGTGGAGGTCAGCAACGTGGCTTCGATGATCCGTGTCAAATCTGTAAAGGTTTCGGCCACACATGAGTCAATTGTTTTTGGCGCTATGATGATCCGTGTCAAATTTGTAAACGTTTTGGTCACACGGGAGCCAATTGTTTTTGGCGCTATGATGATCCGTGTCAAATTTGTAAACGTTTTGGTCACACGGGAGCCAATTGTTTTTGGCGCTATAATGATCCGTGTCAAATTTGCAAAAGTTTCGGTCACACGGGAGTCAACTGTTTTCGGCGATATTCAGGGGCTCCGGGTTCTCATGCTAATTTGGTGTTTCAGAATGGTTTAGTTGCTAAAACCTCGTCAAATTCTCATACTTGGGTTCCGGACACTGGAGCCACAAATCATGCAACTCCGAACATCGCTGCCCTTTCTACATCGGAGAAGTACACTGGTAATGACACTTTACGTGTCGGTGACGGTATGGGTTTATCTATTAGTCATGTTGGCCATGCCTCTTTTAATACCCCTTCTAGATCATTTACATTGTCTGATATACTTCACGTTCCGCGTTTGTCTAATTCTTTATTATCTGTTCAAAAGTTTGCATCCGATAATAAAGTCTTTTTTGAGTTTCACCCCTCCTTTTTTGTTGTAAAAGATATCAATACCAAGGAAATACTTCTTCGGGGCAATAGTTCGGGGGGACTATACGCACTTTCATTACCTAGTTCGTCTCCGTCAGTGTTTATTTCTGCTCGTGCCTCGGCTTCCACTTGGCACAATCGTCTAGGTCATCCTCATAACCGTGTTCTTAGCCATATACTTCGTTCTTGTTTGGTTAGTGAGTCTCGTGATAATATTCGTTGTCATAATTCTTTATGCAATGCGTGTCAATTAGGCAAATCTGCCCGTTTTCCCCTCCCTCGTGTTGCTTCCTCTAGTTCTCAAGTCCTAGATCTTATTTACACAGACATTTGGAGTCCTGCGCCCACTTTATCTACTTCTGGCTTCCGTTATTTTGTGATCTTTGGGGATGACTATTCCCGTTATACATGGTTCTTTCCTATGAAATTAAAGTCTGATCTTTATGTCATCTTTGATAAATTTCGTACTCTTGTTGAACGGTCCTTTAATTGCAAAATAAAGGCCATTCAGTCTGATTTAGGTGCTGAGTACAAAAAGTTGCATTCTTTGTTTGTTCAATTAGGAATTCAACATAGACAATCCTGTGCCTATACACATGAACAGAATGGTCGTGTTGAACGAAAACATCGTCACATTGTTGAAACTGGTCTGGCTCTTCTAGCTCATGCCTCTGTTCCTTTGAAATTTTGGGATTTTGCCTTTGAGACTGCTGTCTATTTAATTAACAGAATGCCATCTTCTGTATTAAATAACTCCAGTCCTCATCTCCTGTTACATAAATCCCCTCCTTCCTATCTTTTTCTTCGTGTCTTTGGGTGTTTATGCTACCCTCATCTTCGATCATATAATCGTCATAAGATGTCATACAGGTCTTTTTCATGTGTCTTCTTAGGTTATCCTGAGTCCTTTAGGGGGTACAGATGCATGGACTTACATACTAATAAGATTTACACATGCAGGCATGTCAGATTTGATGAAGAAGTTTTCCCCTTTGCTACTAAAACTTCTTTGCAGGATCTATCTACTCCGTTTTCTGGACCTTGGGCGGAATCTGTTCTCAGTCACAGCACACCTATTCCTGCCGTGTCCAATGATGAGCTGCCAGAACCGCCGCTACCTGCTTCATTCGAACCAGCCGTGGTTCCTGGACAGGCTGCCTCGTCGGGTGATCCTGTGGAGCCTGTTGCTGGCCGGCGAGGCCGTCCACGTGGGCGGTCCATCAGGCCCAATGTCCGTACTCACTCTATGGCCACTCGCAGCAACGCAGATGCTCATCTTTTTGCTCTAGCAGCTCAAGTGCATCCCACGGAACCCACATGTTACTCTCAAGCTGTTAAATATCCCGAGTGGCGTGAAGCCATGGACCAAGAATTCAATGCTCTCTTGCATAACCACACATGGTCTCTAGTTCCACCCACTGCAGGTATGAATATTATTGGCTGTAAATGGGTGTTTCGTACGAAGAGAAAGGCTGATGGTGCTATTGAAAGGCATAAAGCCAGGCTGGTTGCGAAAGATTTTAATCAGGTTCCAGGTCAGGACTTCTTCGACACTTTTAGTCCAGTGGTAAAGCCTACGACTGTAAGACTCCTTCTATCTCTAGCTTTATCATCCGGGTGGTCTATCAAACAGCTAGATGTTCATAATGCTTTTCTGAATGGTAATCTGGCTGAAACAGTTTATATGAAGCAATCCCATGGTTATATTGATGCTAACTTCCCGAATCATGTTTGTTTGTTAAAAAGATCTCTGTATGGGTTAAAACAAGCTCCCAGAGCTTGGTTTAATCGACTACATACGTTCTTACTATCGGTTGACTTTCAAGCATCCAAGACAGATGTCTCTCTGTTCTATTACTCTAAAAACTCTGCTTTGGTTTATCTATTGGTGTACGTGGATGACATTCTTGTAATGGGAAGTGATCAAGGTATTATGTCTCAGCTCTTGTCCAAACTGTCTGCTACATTCAAAATCAGAGATCTTGGTGAACCAAATTTTTTTTTTTGGGTATTGAAACAGTTAAGAGTGACAATGGGATTATTTTATCTCAACAACGGTATATGAATGATATTTTAAAACGGGCTGGAATGTCTGAATGCAAACCCCTTTCTACACCTATCTCTGTCTCGAAAACTGTCCCCTTCAATTCAGATCTATATGATGATCCCACACAGTACAGGAGTTTAGCTGGATCACTGCAATATCTCACTGTCACACGACCTGACCTATCCTTTGCAGTTAATCAGTTATGCCAGCATATGCATGCCCCCATCATATCACACTGGGAGCAGCTCAAACGGGTACTCAGGTATGTTAAGGGAACAGTTGATCATGGTTTATGCATACGACGATGCTCATCTAGAGACATTCATGCTTTCTCTGATTCTGATTGGGCTGGTTGTCCTGACGATCGAAAATCCACGAGTGGTTTTGCTGTTTTCTTGGGGAGTAATCTTATATCATGGGTTTGCAAGAAACAGAGAACTGTTGCCAGGTCATCCACTGAGACTGAATACAAAGCTCTTGCAGATGTTTGTGCTGAGGTTCTATGGATTATGTCATTATTGCGTGAGATACAGATTCCGGGTATTTCCATTCCAAAATTATGGTGTGATAATCTAGGAGCTACATATATGAGTGCCAATCCAATCTTTCATGCGCGCACCAAGCATGTGGAGATTGATTATCATTTTGTTCGTGATCGAGTAGCTTCGAGCGATATCCAAGTCAACTTCATCTCCACAAAGGATCAACTTGCTGATATCTTCACCAAAGCTCTGCCTGGACCTAGATTTTCTTCCTTAAGGGACAAGCTACAGGTTACTAGTATACACTGTGCTTGAGGGGGAGTATTAGGACTCTGTATATGAGTCTGTTTAGAACTTCTTATCCTTGTCACACTGTGACTCTCTACTTCTTATCATTGTCACACTGTGACTCTCTATTCTATATATTCACATCATCTGATCTCATTGTAATTAAGTTCAGAAAATATAATACAATCAGTTCTCATCGGGCCGTCCCTGGCCAGGGCAAGCGCACAGGGCCCCAAATATTATGTGCATTTGGGGGCACTTTTATTTAAAAAAAATTATTATTTTATATTTATATTTTATATATTAGTGTAGGTGTAATTTATGTATAAAGAAATTAAGACGGTCTAAAATTCTAAAAAGTTTACGTATAGAGTTATAGTCCTATAACTTATAGGAATTGAGGCGGGTCTATTTGATTATTGTAAAAATTATTATATATAAAGAGTAAAAAATTACTCTTATTCCTATTATAATGCATACACGCAAGATTTGTATTCACAACGCAAGAATTCGATCGGTCTTAGTAATCATTAATTTGAAGTGCGTTGTTTGTGCATTTGGCATGCTCAATTTTTTTATTCTTCACGATAAATGTATGAAGGTATGTAAATAATTAAATATTTTAATTCTTTAATTTTATTCAAAATTTTAAAATTATTAATTCAATAACTAATCCTAGCTAGGAATTTTTTTGATTGGTGAATAACAATATAATTTCTTGTATTTTGATACTACAATTGCAATATCAATTAGTATTAACTATTTTCATTACTGTTGTTATGCATAAAGAAGTTTTTTTAAAGTTAAAGTTGTTGAAATCTTACTTATGATCAACTATATTGTAAAAAAGACTCAATGAATTGGTGAATAATTTTACATCTAAATATGGCTGAAGAAGAAGAATGTCACTTTTCAAGTGAAATTTTGAATAATAAATTTTTTATAGACTATTATATATTTTTTTTGGTAAAATATAATATATCTTTTATATATTTACAATTATACAAAAAGGGGGCCAATGTTAATTTTCGTACAGAACCCCAATTTTCTTAAGAACGGCCCTGGCTATATATGAGCACCTATGTCAAGTACTCTAATTTAGATAACGAAGGTGGACAACCTCGACCACCTTCACAAGGTTTAGATTGAACCTTACACGTTTTGACAATCATCTATAGCTATTAAAAAAGAATTAATTTTTTTTAGGACAATCATAGTTGTGGAGAAGACAACCAGTAATTGTCTTCTTCTTCTCCCAAATGTAGCCTACTGAATGTTTGAGCTAAGCATGTGCGAGCACCACTAATTATCTTCTAAGATAGTTAACGCTTTTCCATTAAAAATATTGAAAAAAAATATTGTTTAAGAACATATATAAAATATTTAATATATGATTTTTTGAAAGCAATCATCAAATCAGCATTAACTTGTTGAATATAGATTAAAATAAAACTCGATTACACTTTTTGTTGGTTTAAGAAGTTTAATTGGAAGTTTTTTTATTTTTATTTTTTCACTTAGAGAACATATTTAATTACATTATTCTGTCAACTTAAGGAGCTAATTTGACACCATTTTCAAAAAAAAAAAAAAAAACACACACACACTAAAACTCCATGTCAAATTTATACATGTCACATGTAATCATACAGACTTAGCTTTAAAATAAATTATCAAAACAGTTCCTCGACTATAATAATTTCACCATTTCAATTATCGATTTAAATTTCGTACAATAATATCATGAGCATCAAATTTGTCTATATTTTAAACAAATACCCTATTAGTTGAAATTAAAAGTTGAGAAGGAAAGAGGCAAAATAAAATAGCAAAATTAACCAGACTTGACTTTGTAATGACAGAGCATTCTAAAATTGTAATTAATGTGAGTATGTTTATCACAATTCATTTTCAGCTCGATCAAGAACTGAGTCAGAGCACTAACCTCTGGTGGAGAGAGCTGATACAACAACTTTTGTAGCATCTGATGACCAAAGAGGATGGAGACCGGGTGTGGTTCCTTGTCTTCTCCCTCTTTGTACTCAAATTTTGTGTCCATGTAAGATTCCAGTTGTCGGTTGAACTGTACATGACTTTGATCACCACCAATTTGTTCTTGAAAGCTAAGTATGAACTAAATAGAGAAGAAGATATAGTATGTATTTGTTGGGTATGTTGGGTAGAGGCCTAAAGGGCCAAATCTAGCATTGGGTGGCTAGGAGATTGTTGGACAGAGATCTTGAATGATCAAGTCCAGTATTCTGCCTATGGGAAATGTGATGGGTGCTATGATGGATCTCTGCACTATGGATATTTCTGCTTTGATTGTCATATCTTACTCAAAATCGATAAATAGGTGGACATTAATCATTTAACACAACCCTCTTTTCATGGTAAGTCTGTCACGTCTCGAATTAAGCTGGGCTGAACTCGATTGACGCGCAACGAGTATTAAAAAAAAAAGAGTTAATTGACATCTGAGTCCTCCGAATATAGTGGTTCTTCCATATTTAGTTCTAAACTTTCAAGTTAATCACCTCTGATTTTTCAATTCCAAATTTTAACCAATTGAGATCTTTCAACTCTTAAATTTTAAACAATTATGGCCCTTTCAATAGAACCACGATCGGTTAAAGCTTGAAAGTTTAATGACCATGGTTAAAATTTAAAATTTGATGGATCACTATAATTTTTGAAGTAGTACGTGATAAGTCTTTGATCGTAACAAGTGGTATCCGGGTTTCGAATATACCTCTTGTTTGATGGCACGATGGCTTAGATGAGGGCCATACATGAAAGCAGCGACAAACACAGCAACAGATATGTTGTGAGGAAAAGCCTCCATGGCAAGTGATATGTTAATCCCACCTTGGCTATGGCCTACCAGAACCACCTTCTCATCCGCCGGCAACGCCGCCATGAATTCCGTCAAGGGTTGGTTGTATTCCGCCATGGAACCCACTTCCTCGGCGCGTTTGGGATGAATTCCGGAGGCGGCCATGTCAAGGGCGCTAACTTTGTGGCCCTCCGCTCTAAGCAGCGCCGCCACCTTATACCAGCACCACGCGCCGTGGCAAGCTCCGTGAACCACCACAAAGTGCTTCTTTCTCTCATCCATCATCCCACCACTCCACCGCTTCAGTAATGAATAGATTAACAGAATAGATTAGTGGTGAAAAGCCTTGTTTTCAGTGAAGACAAATCAGTCCCCAGCTAGCCACGCATAGTTTCAATCTGGACAAACATTGTTTTCATCGCTGTGGCGAGTGCGCACTTGTGGCTAAAATTTGTCCAATCAACTAAAAACAAATTTTGTAACAGCAACTGGCATAACAGAATGGAAATTAAGGCACCCAGAAGGCAAATTACGGTCCACAAAGTGTGGATCATGATTCAAAATGATGTCGTTAAATTTTATAAGTTAGAATAACAATGTATATTATGTGTTAGAATAATAAAATTTTTTGTGTAAGATAATAACATTATGTGTTAGAATAATGTACATTATGAATTAAAATAATAAAACTTATAGAGTAAGATAATGTATATTATATATTAAAATAATGTACATTATGAGTTATAAAAATGTATATTGTAGTAGGTCACGTAAAAACAAAAAAATTACATGAAATGACGTTGTTTTTGGACCGTGATCCACACAGCTATGTAGACCACGGTCCACTCATTGCTGGAAATTATGGAATTTCCAACCACCTGAAAGTGATCTTAAATCAAGTCGAAAGTCTTGTTCCGACCACTTTTGGTATCCGGAAAAACCTTTGTTGCTATTTCCGACCACTTTTTGCTTTCGACTTGATTTAAGATCACTTTCAGGTGGTCGAAAATTCAATAATTTTCAGTTGTGACTAACTATTGCACCCAGAATTTGTTGGCATAATTCGGATACATTATCCTCATGGTTGCAAAAATCGCGCCTAGGCGCTAGGTGGCCGCCGCGAGGAATGCCGGAATCAGCCTCCTCCGTGGCCGGGGCCGCCTAGACCGCCTAGCCGGCCGGTTCGGCGATTTATTTATTTATTTTGGCGTTGTAAAGTGTTAAAAGTTAGGGAAGGCATAACTTTTGACTCGGTTGTCCGTTTTGGACAATTTTTTTTTTCAAATCGCGTATTTTTTCGAAGGCGATTTGACCCTCTAATTTCTCCAAAAAATGCTACTTTTGCTCTTAATTTTAATTTTTTATGTATTTAGATGGTTTCAACAATATTCAAAACGATTTTACAACCACTTATGTAAATAATTTGTAAGAAAAAACTAAAGGAACCTTATGTTTTATTAGTGAATTTCATTATTTTTAATTTAAAACATTTTTTAAATAAAAAATTTTAAAAATAAAAATAAAAAATCAGCGCCAAGGAAACGCCTAATGTTTTTTGCAACCTTGATTATCCCATATATGTGGGTGGGGCTCCCACTAAACACCAACTTTGTGATGATAGTAATATGGGAAAATCATGGTTTTAGTCCTTTAATTATTTTGTAATTGTTAATTTAATCTCTATTTTTCAATTTGAACGAATTTGATTTTCGAATTGTTTTAAATTTCGTCAATTATATCTCTTGGCATTATTCCGTCACTCGATCATCCGTTAGTTGTCCTTATTTGAGTGTGCACTTCTTGTACATAATCAAGAAGTGCCAAAAGCACCTTTCGACCGTGTGACCAAGAAGTAAACATACCTTCCAGTCATAAGCGAGAGTATACTTTTCGACCTAGCTGTACTTCTCGGTTGCCCTTATTTCAAATTGTTAGGTTCCCTTATTTGAGTGCGCACCTTAACAACACGTTTGGTTCACATAATGAATTTTGAGGTAATAGAAATGTTATTCCATAAGGAATGGAATAGGCAAGGAATAGAATAAGAATTGTATTCTATTGTTTGATTTGCGGAAGGAATAGACTTTAGGATTATATTATAGTGTTTGGTTGATTTAAGGAATAGAAATGAAATATATTTTTAAAGACATAAATATCCTTATAAAAATATGTGATGGGGGGATGGTGGCGGTGGTGGTGGTAGTGGCGTTTGTGACGGCGGTGGTGGCGATGGTGGTGGTGGTGGTGGTAGTGGCGGTGGCGGTGGTGGCGGTGATGGTGTTGGTGGCGGTGGTGGCGGTGGCGGGGTGGTGGTGCTGGTGCTGGTGGCGATGGCAGCGGTTGTGGTGGTGGTGGGCGGTGGCGGTGGTGCTGGTGGTGGCGGCGGTGACGACGACGATGACGATGGTGGCGGCAACGGTGGTGGTGGTGGCAGCGGCGGTGTTGCATGGTGGTGGCAGCGGTGATGGCGGTGCTGGGGTGGTGGTAGCGGCGGTGATGAAATAGGAAATAAATTTAATTGGGGGTAAAATAGAAAATAGAAACTTTAGGCTATTCCTGAGAACTTAGGAATAGCCTAATACCAGCAGCACCCCCCCCCCCCCCCCCCCCCTTAGGAATCTCTATTTCCCTTACAAGGGGAATATGTCATTTTCGAGAACAATATTCCTGGGAATACAAGTGCTTACCAAACAGAGGAATAGACCTGGGAATGCTATGCCATTCCAAGCCTATTCCGTGAACCAAACAGCCCATAAGTGCTTTTCTTTTTTTTGGTGGAAAGAAGGGGCCGAGGCCCCCGGATATAAGTGCTTTTCTTATCCCATTAGATCATTGTTACAATCTCTATCTTACTAAATATCATATTCATAGGTGCCTTTAACATATTTAATAATCCGTTTTATTGGCGCCAAGTGTGATTCTTTGGGTTCTGTTGTTTGATAAGTGTACAAGCAAACTTAGGAGTATCAAGACCAAATCCGGCCTTCAACTAGATTTTTTTTTTTTTTTTTTTTTTTTTTTTTGTATATTTGGACTAGGTTATGAATAACCCCTTTAGGATTGTTTGATTTGTAGAACCAACAAAGAGGTGAGTTCACCCACCGTACTCATTTTGAATTCCTTTTTCATGATCTCATCAAGTTCTTTTGTCTTTCTTTTGGTAGTTGATCCAAACACAATATCATCTACATAGATTTGAGCCACTCTGATGTTATTCCATTGAAGTTTCACATATAAAGTTTTGTCTACCCTACTCTAATAAGTATTGAGTCAAGCTTTTGTATAGTACCAAGCTCTAGCGACCTTTTTCCTACCAAGGGTTTTCTTTAGAATTTAAACGTGATAATAAAAACTTTGGATCCTCAAACCCTTTTAGTTCGCAAACACATATGTCTTCTTTTATATAGCCATTTAAAAATGGGTTTTTCACAGACATTTAAAAATAAATTTTTCGTGTCCAACTTATATAATTTAAAGTTCAGAACACATGACACATCAAGTAAAGTTTAAAGCCATGCTTGTAGCACAAGGTTTTAGGCAAAGAGAAAGAATTGACTTGTTTGACACCTATGCTCCTGTAGTAAGAATTGTTATAGTACAATTAGATTGTTAATTGTTATTTCTGTAATACACAATATTGTAATTCACCAAATGGATGTTAAGACGACTTTTTTTAATGGTGAATTAGAGGGGAGTTTACATGAAACAACCAGAAAGTTTCATAATTAAATAATAAAAGAACAGAGTGGTGTAAGTTTAACACAGTCTCATTACATTGAGAAAGTATTAAAAAGATTTAATTACATTGATTGTGCTTCAGTGCCTACTCCTATGGACCCATCATTTAAGTTGGTATCCAACGAAGGTAATCATGTTCCACAGTTGGAATATTCTAAAGTAATTAGATGTCTCGTGTATGTAATGACAAGTACATGGCCCGATATTGCTTTCGCAAAAGGAAAGATGAGTATGTACACTGTAATCCTAGTGTAGTACATCCGGTGGCATTAAAAAGAATTCTAAAATACTTGCATATAGAAGGATATTTTGATGCTAGTTGGATATCAAATAAGTAATTAAGATTTTTCTTCTACCAGCGGGGTCTTTCTACTGAAAAGATGTGTTGTCAATTCCCTGATGGGAATCTATAAAGCAAAGTTGTGTATCATGTTCAACCATGTCATATGAATTTATAGCATTGGCTTCGGCTTGTAAGGAAGTAGAATGGCTAAGGAATTTAATTTTTGAAATTCCAGTTTGGCCTAAATCGATGTCACCAATTCTGAAACATTGTGACAGTGCTACAACACTGGCCAAAGCATATAACAAATTAAAGTTTATAATGGAAAGTAGTCAAGACTGGAGGTGGCCACGGGATGGTTCAAGGTCGAACCAACCCTGAATCGGCCCAGAAAAAAGTGGGTCTGGGCCTGAGCCGGGCTTAGCTCGAACCGGAACCGCCTTGTTAAGGGTCGGTTCAGGTCCTTTTAAAAAAAATTCGAGGCCCAGCACGGAACAGGTCCATGGCCCAAGCCTGAGCACGACCCAGACCCCTAACCGGCCCAGGCACAGCCCAGGCCCGGGCAAACACAGCCATGGCAGCAAAGCATGCTAGCTTTGCTTTCATGGCTAAATGCCTATAATTCTTAAAATTTTTTAGTAATTTTGATTGTGGCAGCAGGACTTATTACTTACTACTCATCCATGCAACGTGCAACGGCCAGATATTTGGCCGTTGCATGTAGCCTCTGTCGGAGGCTAGACTAGGCTTGGCCTCCGGTAGAGGTTACTCCTGTTCTCGCCTCTCGGCTAGTGCAACGGCTAATTTTTTTTTTTTTTTTTTGTTTTTCTTCTTTTTATTTACCATTTTACCTTATAAATACTCTTATCCAATTTATTTTTATCACACAAAAATTCTTAATGTGACACTTTCTTACTTCTACTCACAACAATTCTCCATAAATTAAAAGCAAACTCAATTTAAAAGTCTTTTAAAAAATTTTAATTTATCTTCTAACATAATTTAGTGAGTAAAAATCAAATGAACTTTATAAACTATACTCATTTTATAATATTTATAAGTTATCAAATAATATTAGAGTTAATACCCAAAATTGTCCTCGACTATAGTGGTTTTTCTCAATTTTGTCCTAAACGACTTTGGTGTCATAAAATAGTCCCAGACTTTTGTGTCATTGCTCAATATTATCCTCCGTTAGTTAATCCGTCAAAAGGGTGTTAAATATAGGGATAATATGGTCATTTAAGGTGTTCTCTTGGTCTCCTTCCTTTACTCCACGGCAGCCGGCATTACATGGTGATTGTGTTTCGCAGCACGGCGACTTGCTTGGAAATTGGAATGGCTGGAGA